TTTGGAGATCATTTCACAAATGACAAAGAAAACAAATGATCTTTCCTCTCTAATCACCAGGACAGAATAGGGCAGATATTTCCCTAGGAGGAAGGCGCTTGGACAATGTTTCTTTAACTTCTCCTTGCACTATATACAGAACCAGAGAGCTAATATCATTCCCTTCCAAATGCAAGTAGACAAATCTATGTCCTAGTTCTGATTTTGCTATCAGATGCATGCATGGCCTTGAGTAAATAACTTACTTCCATATCTCAATTAAAAAAAAAAAAAAGCAATTTTTAGTCATCTAGTTCCAAAATCTATAACTGCTCCATCTACAATGCTCCATGTATGCATTCAAACCCTATGGACCTTCGGGAGCAAACTATCTACCTGAAAAGAATTTTGAAAGCCTATAAAGTGGAAATAATGGAAAGAAAGAAGAGACGAAGCTTAGAAGGCACATTGTGATTGTTGACATCCTAATTGAGATGCACTCCCATGAAGTAACTAAAAAAGCTAAGTCCTGCTACCCTAACGTCATAAAATTTGACAAAGAAACAACTAAGAAGAAAAAAGGCCAAAAAAGAGGGAAGAGGAAACAGATCAATAAACAGTCAACCTCTCCAATGGTAGATATGAAAAGAGGCATCAGAAATGATGAATGGGGAAAAAAAGAGAAATGAGAATGGGGCAATTAATCTTGCTTATATGGGCTTATAAGGGGGTTAAAAATCAGTAGAAATATTAAAGATGTTAGTTACAGATCACCATACAGATGAAAGATCAAAGCTCATCAGACAGAACAATGATGAAAATGTCTGAACTATTCCAAGAATTACCAAAATATAACCCACAGACCTCAAATGCGCACATGCTCTTGAAGAAATGGCACCCATGGTCTTGATCCATGCAGGATTGCCACAAATCCCCAGTATGCAGAGAAGCACAGTATTTGTGAAGCACAATAAAGCAAAGTGCAACAAAATCAGGTTCATCTGCCTCAGGGCAGGGTGGAGTCACAGTAGTTAGCTGCTTCGAGTTTAGAATATGTTCAATCCACAATACTTATCAGATGAATGTAAAGTATCATTTAAATGTTATCATCTTTTAATGTTTCCAAGAGTCTGGCTAAATAAGGCATTGACCTTTGGATCATGGGGTATCTCATTCATTCAAAGTTAACAGATCCCCATGTACATGGTGTGGGTTTATGCATCTATACATGGATGATTTATAAATAGATAAAAATAACTTCATACTTGAGGGCCTAGAACAAAGGTCTAATCATAAAGAAATGAAATATATTCTGCCCTTCTCTCTATTCTCTTTCTACTTGCATTTCTTGGGAATTCACACTTGGGTGGACAGTGTAAATCCAGCAGTGGGTTTAATGAAAACTAAGGGAGCATAAATTAAATTCACAGCAGATTTTTCGCCGTGTTTTTTCCTGTGTTATTTTCATAGGAATCTGTGTGTTCAGGAGACTTCTGAACAAAAAGCTTCACAGCGTTCTAAGTTTACTGATTCTCTCAGCACCATGCAAATGTTTAATAATTAGTAGTAGTAATTCTAGGAAACAAGAAATAATAATAATAATGAAAACATGCTAAACTGATTTGTACTTGATTAAAGACATTGGAATATAAACTAAGGACTGCTAAGATGATATTTGCCTATAAATAGTCAAAGAATATTTATCTATAGGACATATGAAAATACTGATGTACATGTCTTTCCTTTGCATTTTCTGTATCCCATCCCTAAGCCAGTTAGGCATCCCACTTTCACTGCAATAGATTATGGCTGTTAAATCTGGGCAAAGATTGAAAAAATAAAATTTTTAGACCATGTATTTTATCCTTTTTTTTTTTTCTGACTTGGTCTCCTTCCACAATATTTATTTATTTAGACAATGTATTTTGAAAGCTTGTTTTGAATTAAGAAAATATAGATTTCTAAGAACTGGAGTAACACAGTTCGCTATAATTCATTTAGAATAATTCACAATCAGTCACACTTTAAGTTCTATTATTTGTCCTAGGTATCAAACTTCTTCTCCATCAGGACTAGATTTGATAGGAAACTTACAATGTGTCCTAAAGTCAGGAAGGTGTGTTATTTATTTCACATAACAAATGTTCAGAAGGTAATTCCTATATTTTGCCCTCAAACTGACCTCCAAATCCTGGATTGTCATTGGTGCTTCAGCGGTAATGCCCACATCCCAGGAGGTTGAGGGGGAGGGACCCGAAAAGGTGATAGCTCCCCACTTGGAAACTTCCATGTACCCAGAATTGAGGCCTGTGGTCACAAGTAGGTTAAAGGAAAGCTGCAATTCTTACTCTTGATAGCAATGTACTCAGGCAATAATTAGTAAGAAGTTACTAAGAAGGAAGATTAGAACAAAAATAAGATAAACACCTTTTGATCTCTACTCCCACTCGCGTTTCTCTCGCAAGAGGACATAATATATCCGGGGATAGAAATTAAAGAGACTTTAGAGAGGACAGTGTGGGTGTGTAGGAGAGAGAGAAACAATATGAAGAGCCTCACAATAAGTGGAAGCCACCTGAAAGAGAAAGGTGGACGTGAGCTGAGGTGGTATGCAAGAGCACAACACCCTACCCCAAGTGAGCAGAGGGGACATTCAAGTTAGCCCAAAGGAGGCAGGGGTGGGTGCAGCCATGCTCTTCCACTAAAGAGGCGCCCCACAAGTGAGCACAATATCTCCTCAGCTCCAAAGAGCTGTGTGCAGTCGCCTACCCACTGGTCTCTGGCAAGGGCCTCCCAATAACACAATGGCCTGTGAGTGAACCAGGAAAAATGTGTCCCTTTAGGTCCTGAGACTTGGCGTGGCCCCAGGGTGCAAGCTCCCTGGCACTGGCTGAGGACATCGAAGCCCGCTGAAGCAGAAATGGACACACAACCCCAAGTTGGGTCTTGACAGGATAAAACAGGAAACCCTTCCCATTCGAGCCCAGCACAGAAGTAGCATAAGTTTTCCCACAGAGCAGCACTGTGTCAACAGCCCCTTCTTGGTACATGTTAACGATCAAGGTTGGAAATATTTTATTCTTGGTTGGAATTACTTGTTTCACACTACCTAAGAAAAGGGACAGATAATATAAAATTTGTTGAAAAACGGAGTTAGGAAGTGGGTATAGACAGTCAGTTAGGAATAGGGTGCCCCAAAGAGCTGACTGAGAAGCAACTGCAGATCAGGAAGCCCCCCACCCCTGGCCCCAATTCAATTAGAAACGGAATGTTCAGAAGCCAACATACTAGCACAGTGGCAACGGACCAGAGCCGGTTTCAGAAAAGAAGGCTTGGTACTGTGGAGAAACTCAGTGGGCCTTGGTAGCCTAAGGAGACCCCTGAGGACCCAGTCAATCAGCAAAGGGACACAACAAGGAGACACCCAAAGGCTAACCCCCCACTCCTTACCCACTTTAACAATATAAGCACCTGCTTCTTGTCGCCTCAATCAGCTACCATCCGGGACCCCTCTCTGCTTAAATAAATTTCCTGGCCTTAATTCCTACCTATCAATACATCTCTTGCTTTTCTGTAACGTTGGTCTCCACATTGAATTCTTTTCTGGCCAAAGACCAAAAAAAAAAAAAAAAAAGCCACTAATAAGTGCCTGTGTGGGGTCTTTTTCAAATCAGTGTTTAATGTTGGTAGCAGCCAGAACATGATAGGAAACACCACCGAGCTACGCAGCTATGAAATGAAAGGTACATGCTCATCTCTGAAAGCAAAGTCATAGACAGGACATTAATAGAAAGGTGTGATAGTTAATTTATCTCAATTTAGTGGGAGCACGTTACCCAGATTTTTTATTTTTCGGGATGTTTAGGGGGAGGGCATTTTTTAGGTGAAATTTACATTTAAATTGGTGGACTTAAAAGATCATGGGTGACTTGGTGATAGGAAGCCCACGGGGATTACAATTGAGATGAAAAAAAAGTACAAAATGATGTAAAAATAAACATATTATATTAAAAAAATTTGCATGCCATAATGTGGATGACTCTCCTCCCAATTGAAGATAATAGAACAAAGACTTAACTCCTGCCATGTTAACTCCTTCCAGGGTCTCAAGACACTCCTAGTCTTGAGCTACATCAGTTCTTTCTGTCTCCAGCTTATTAACCCATTTTGCCAATATTGGATGTGCTGGTTTCCATAATCACCTAAGCAGATCCCTTAAAATAAATTTATATGGTGCCGGTTTTGTTTCTGTGGAAACCCCAATTAATATAAGAGACATGAAGGAATGAAACAACATAGCTTCAGATGATCTGAAGAAATTAAAAACTATGACCCAGGTTATTTGGAAAAAGGCTATCAAGTCAAAAGCCAAATGGAAGCAAATTGACAGAAGCACAGACCAAACTGGTCAAAAATGAGGATTCTATTCCCCAACTATTTTCAGTTCTTGAAATGTGTATATATCCTTTGTACTTGTGCAACGTTTAGACATTTTTGTTTTTTTTTTTTTTGCAAAATGGAGGAATTGCTATTTTTAATTTTTTTCAAATTAATATGCTATGCCGCTTATTAACAGCAAACACTTTATTATGTTCACTCAAGTAATACTAGTTTATAACATTTTATGTTTTATGGGGTAGAGGCACATTTCTACAAACGTATGTGATCACTTTCTTATCTCCTCATATATTTTTAGGTCCACAGGATATGTAATTTTCAATTTTCTTTTTTTTTTTTAAGATTTATGTTTTTAGTTCTGTATACAGAACTGGGGTATAGGCCGAAGGTGCAGGGGGTGAGAGGATTCACGAGAGAAGAGTGGGGAACAGAACAGGCAAATGGACTGAAATACACTGCTGAGGGGAGCAGCAGGTGGGTCAGGAGAGGTCTGCTACATCAAGAGGGTCAGCTCCCTGCCTGGGGATAGAACTCATGCAGAAACAGCTGTTTTAGCTTCACAGTGCTGTGTTTTAATCCGTTGTACCACCAGGAAGGGCCCTCAACTTTCTTTTATCCAGAGGTTCAATGAAAGTTATAACAATTTCTAAGATTGCCGAGGTTTAGTTTTGCATTCTATTGTTTATGTATTCATGACTTTGCTGCAAACATGCAAAAAAGCAGCGATAACCAATACTTTAAAGTTTTAGCAGATAGCTACTTTACTAGGTTAAAGTATAGTCATTACTAACATTCACTTTTACCTGATACAAGCACTCTTCTAGGGGTAGAAAGTCAAATTGGAAGCGCAAAGCTTGGAAGAGCATCACAAGGCATTAGTGGAAGACACTTGAACAGAGAAAAGGTAAAATAAAGACTAGCTGTTCTGGTGTGATAAAATTCAGATCCAAGTTGCTACTGTTACAGCCTTCATGGTGATGACTTCTAATATCATTATTCATGATCACCCCCATCCATCTCTACTATATGGCCAATATTCCCCCAGCTTCACTAGTCTAAGCTACAGTAAGTCAAACAACAGGGTAATAATGACCAGCTCATAATTTTTAAATCTATTTTCTCAGTTTTGCATGCTAATAGAAAAGTGGTCCTTTGTCATTTGTTCACTTCATGCAACACTTTAACCACACTTGTCCAGGAAAAAATCGTAAACACCCTGGGTTAAGAGCAAATAACTGAAAATTCCTTCTCATTAATACAACTCTATAAAGCAATCAACAGGCGATTTATAAGGACGCCAGGAAATGAGACAACCGGGTTGAACTGCGCGACCACAGAGCAGCACTGCCTGGGATCGCTGCTTGGACTGCACTGGCATCTCCTCACTTCTCTCCAGTGCAATTACAATTTTATTGTGACATCAGTGCACGTCATAGATTGCAGTGATGGGGATTTGCTTGGTCTTTTCTCCATTTTGCGACGCCTTGTTTTAGTTATATTAGAAGCTTCATGCACACAAAAACCCTTTTCCACACATGAATGCCTCTTTATATGTTTATTACCCATTCTAATACAAGCTTTTATTCTATGGTTTCTACTCCCCTTTAGATCATAATAAATATACCTTAAGATTACCACCCTTGAAATAAAAAAGAAATAGTATATGTAATTTCCTCCATCCATCAAGCCAAGTTCATTTTGTGTGAAATATCTCTCCCCTTGTAAAACTAGAAGGCACATTTTTCAAAAACGAATTGTATTTTAAAGCAACTCTCTAGCCCTATAGCTAGCAAGCACTGTGCTATTTTGGGACCCCCAAAGAAAGCAATTGTAAATCAAGTTCTATAGAACTTCCTTGGTTTGTATTTAAACTAACAATTTATGCAATTCCAACAAGAAATCAGTGTTATATTTTTCTTAATGTTCAACTTAAAGCATTAGACATAATAAGCTGAATGGAAGAAAATCGTGATCAAATGCTAAAAATGTAAACACGAAAACAGTAAACATGAAAACAAATCTCTTTTTAAAGTCATTCAATTGTAAGAAAATTAGCCAGAAAATTGTACCACTCCAAACAAATCCTGTATACAAACCCAGGGACTCACTTGCATCCCTTTTTGATATGCATCATTCAAATAATGCTCCATCTCGTGATCTGAGCTCTTATTGGCAAAAATTAGAATACACGGGCATTTTTTACTATTTACATTTCATAATCAGAATTGGCTTTTGTTTCTGAAGTTAGAATGATGTCTACCATTTGGCTTTAAAGAAACTTTAAAATTGTTCCCTTTTGAGGATTTCAATTAGCCACTCCCGCAGCCCAATGGAAAATAACAACAACAAAAACACTGCTATTTTACTCAAAGATTCTTGTCTTCCATTTCATTTTACCAGTCCAAATACAAATTCGGAGAAAAGCTTCTTAAGTCCTGCAGTTTCGAATTCCTTTTGTAACTCATCCAACGATGAATACTCTTTGACTTCAAATGCCAAAAACCTGCATTATACAAGAGAAACTCATGAATATGCCTAGATTTGTCAGAGTGTAATTATCGATTCAGTTGCTTTTCCTTCGGCAATAGTACTAAATTATACCTTTTGTGTTCTGTCTGTACTTTTGTTTCAAACAGTACACTAATCATTTTCTCTTTACATTTCTTTCCACTTGAGTCCACATCCACTTTGGAGGTTTTCTGAAGAATCAGGTACTCCTAAATGATAAATCAGTACGTTAAATACACATCTCACACTGAGTCTCAGAGTCCTGATTTTAAAGGAGTCATGAACCAATAGGTTTATTTTCAGGCTTAAAGAGTACTCTCTTTCTGAACCAAGCAGTAAGAGAGTTACACAGTGTTTTTACATACTTGGTAGCATATGTTTTTACATACTTGGTAGCATAACGTTCTGGTGAATGCAAGAGAAAAGAGCAACATGATCATACTTCAGTTTCAATCTGAACTGGGGAGCCTACTAGATCTGATTCCTAGCTGGTGGCTTAAGCCCTCTGTGGTGATGATTAAATGAGTTAATGTTTGCAAGGCACTCAGACAAGTGTGAGTGTCTGGTTCATGTGGGACACTCCATTAGCACCACCTCAGGATATATATATATACATATACATACATATATGTATATATATATATATACACACATATATATATCTGTTATTCTCAATCCTGATATGCAAGCTTAGAAAAATTTAACAGATATTTACATAATATTTTAGCAATGGCTGAGAAAAAGAACTCTTTAAAGTGTACAATTTCCTACATTAGCAGAGCTCTCATCAGATGAATAAATGTGTTAATTAATTGATGACCCAATCCAAATCACAACATCTGCAAAACAGCTGTACTTAGCCTAATATACCAAAGCTGCCCAAGGAACACTCTGAGCCTTTGGGGGAAATATGAGAAAGGAAATTAATTTTGTATTCATTTCATCAGTCAGTATTTTACCCCAAAGGATCAAATTTTATAGATACACTATAAATCACCTTAAAATATGTGGCTCCTTAGACAGAATCCAATCTAGGATAGTATTAAATTTGAATTATTTGTTGCATCTATATGCCAGGATCCTGCACTAACCTGGTGAACCAAATGCCAAACTTGTTTTATGATAAAAGCCCATCGTGCAAAAGCTGGGTTGTTATTCTTCCAATCTCTGTAAGATTATAGGTTGTACAAGCTAAATCTATCTTAAAGAAGTGCAATTATAATTATCTCTGACCCATCCTATCTGAAGGCATAATACTCAGTAAGTGATTTGCAATTCTTTTAAGATTTAAAATATAATAACCAGTTTTCTTCATCTGGTTCTGCATAAAACAGGTTAGATGAGTTTAGAAGGAAAAACTTGAAAAATCTGAAAAAGATGATGATTTTGAAAGCAGCTGCTGAGACAAGTCAGGTGGAAAGCAAAAGTCAGGTAGGAGGTGACAGCTGACAGCCCTAATGATTCTCTTCTACTAACACTAAGTCCTGGTTAAGAGGGACCGGCAACTCTTTCCAGGATTATAGATACAAAATTAAAGTGTCAGAATGTATTTTTACCTGCCAAAAAGTTAAAACTTTTGCAAGCTACCCACAAAAATACATCTTGCTATGCCTTACTAATAAAAGAAAAATAAGTATGTACCAACTTTGAGGTACAGTCGTCAAGTTGAGGCTCAAAGCTAATTATAGAAACAAACACTCAGGTACCACACTGAAGTTTTTTATAACATATGACTGTCAGTGGCATGATTTTTAAAATATAATTCTGTTATTCTTCGAGCTTTGCAAGTTTGTAACTTTAAGAAGTTAAAAACATTTCTTAAAGAAAATGAAGATCCATTAACCTGGTAGTGGTGAAAGCAGAAACAACATCCTAATGATTAATCTGTCCCATTGTTCTAAACACTCTTAGAGACACACCATTTTAGTAGAAAATAGCCAAATTCATATTCAACATTAAATTTTTTGGCACCTTGATGCTGTTTCTGTCTCCTTGCAGTAAAATCAGTATTATTTTACCCATGAACATCAGTCTTCCTGTCAGCTTTAAATCGGAAGCCCACTTCTCCACAGTTCTGACATATTTAGTCTTCGCTCTCATGTGATCTAAATGCAAAAGAGTTATCCACAATCCATCATCTGCAGTCATGCTGGTTGCAAAAGCACACTTTTCGCTGCCATTTCCAGTTTCCGGTTGATCGAGGAGGCCTCTGAGATTCTGCTGGACCCAGAGAACCAGCTCATGAACCATAGGTTCCGACAAAAGGTTCTGTGCTTGTTCAAGTAACTTCTCTTTCACAGTTACACACTGGGCCCTGGTCAGGTGTTCAGAATGAACAGAGAGACCAGGTAGACAGGCAGGGTAATTGACAGGTAAATGGAACACCAGTTCTATGGGTACATCCGTATCTGAATGTCCTGCAGCTTTCGTGAGAATTCTGAACACGGCCCCATCTGTCTCTGGAAAGCATCCAAAAATAACGATTAGCTGTACATAATTCAATTTGCTGGAACACTAACAAGTCAAAAAATTTTTTCAAATGTCAATTATTTTTCATGTAAAATCTGAGTTACTTTCGAAAGAAACACAAGAGTGAGAGAGAACCAAGATTCCCAGGTTACTTCCTTCGACCGCACACTCAGCTTTGTGGATAGGTGCACATCAGCACCCAAGGCTGTACTGGCATGTGCACGTGCTGTCGCCCCCATTTTTATAAAGATTACCTGAAAGGCTTCTCGCCATAACATTTTTTCTGCCCAAACTTAACTGGTAATTCTAGAAAATCCCCAGTAAACTCATAGGAACATTCAAAGAAACAGTAGCTTGTATATATAAAATCAGTCATTACTTTTAAAAGTCAGACACTAGGACCCTCCCTGGTGGTGCAGGGGGTTAAAGCACAGCACTAAGAAACTAAAGCCACTTCAGCATGGGTTTGATCCCCGCCCCGGAGGTGACCACATGGCGCAGCAGACCTCTCCTGACCTGCCCGCTGCTCCCTCAGCAGTGTACTTCATCAGCCTGCCTGTTCTGCTCCCTACTCTGTCTTTGGTGAATCCTCTCACTGCCCCTGCACCTCTGGCCTGTACCCCAGTTCTGTACACATAAATCAACCTTAAAAAAAAAAGTCAGACACTAAATCCAAGGAAGGTCATTTGCAGAAGGTCCAAGCCAGAGCAACACTGGGGTCCCAGGGGGTGGCAGGGAAACTGGTCACCACACATGCGACAGAAACTGCCTCCACTCACTGTTTTCCTTAACTTCAAAGATATTAGTATCAGTGTCACACGAAGGTAGCACTGGACAGTCATCAATTCAGCTGTTGCTGGCTTCAGGAGGAGGAGGCGGCAGCATGCATACATCTGAGACGAAACACTCTGCTTGCTTTCAGATTTGCTCGACTTCACCCCTCTGAAGTGTTCCACACCACTTCACCCCACTTTTCAAAAAGTTGATAAAACGTCAGGCTGATTCATTCTGCAGGGGGCAGAGGCCCAGGGATCAGAAGAGCAGAGTAGAACAGAACTGGGTGCAGATGAATCTCTTTGAAGCTAACTTGCCTCTCTCTACCCCTACTTTTTTCTCCACACGCCCTTGTTTCATTCTCCTTCACAAGAGAGGGAGTCAAATCCTACTCATTTTCATACCTCAATTGCTGTTCAATAGCCTCAGCCCTGGAAACCTGAATATATCCCCATTTTCAAGAACCTAACAGAACATTAAAATGGCTTGTTAGCCATCTGATTCCATTTATATAAAAGCTGTTGTTACAGGCATTGATTCATACAGGACCAAACACATCTGTTACACAAGAGTTTTCTTCTTTAATAGACTCTTCAGTATCAGCTGCAAAGCACTATTATTTTGAGATGCCACCCAGAAACTGGCAGTAACCATTATAAAGACCATATTAAAGTAATGCCATTCAAATTTGCTTTACATAAGTAAAATGTGGGGCTGCATAAAGAAAAATTTTTCAAACCTCTCAATTCCATCACCAGCTTCTCAAAACCCTTTTATCCCTTTAAAAAGATATTCTGTTATTTCATGGGCTTCCTATGCACAGTTCAACCAGTACATTTCAGCATGAAAAATGAGTGACACAAACAGACCTACAAACAATTCTACCTAAACTCCCTAGAAATCATCCTGCAGTCCACTCTCTCTCTCAAGGAGAAAACACTTTATTTAAAGATTGTTACTCATTCATCAGTCAACAAACATTCACAAAGCACTGACTATATTCAAGGCACTGTACTAGTCCACACTGACTCAATCCAGTGTTTCATAACAAGAAAGAGTGGTCATACCCAAAGTAGCCTTCTTCACTTCTCTTATATGTATATGGGGCACATGATTCATTTGTTTAAATCTTTTAAGACATGGTAAACTTCTCCAAAGTATTTGTACCATTTTTACATTCTCACTAGTGGTATATTAGAGTTCTAGCTGCTGAATATCCTCACCTGATGTAGCACAGTCAGTCTTTTTAATTTTGAATATTCTTTTTTTTTTAAGATTTATTTGTGCATACAGAACTGGGGTACAGGCCAGAGGCTCAGGGGCGGTGAGAGGCTTCACCAGAGACAGAGTGGGGAGCAGAACAGGCAGATGGACGAAAGTACACTGCTGAGGGGAGCAGCGGGCAGGTCAGGAGAGGTCTGCCACGCCGTGTGGTCACCTCCGGGGCAGGCGGGAATCGAACTCATGCGGAAGTGGCTTTAGCTTCTTAGTGCTGTGTTTTAACCCGCTGTGCCACCAGGGAGGGCCAATTTTGAATATTCTTATAGGCAGTGGACTCTCACTGTGGCTGTAATTTGCATTTCCCTATTTATAAATGGTGTTGAGCATCATTTCATGTTCTTATTTGCTGCCTATATATCCTATATATCCTTCTTGATGAACCATTTGTTCAAATCTTTTGCCTATATTTTAACAATTGGATTGTTTATCTTACTACACTGCATGTTAAGTGTTCTCTATATATTCTGGATACAAGCTGTTTTATCAGGTATGTGATTTGCAGCTATGTTTCTCCGCTCTGTAACTCACATCTTCCCCATAGGAGAAACAGAAAATACACACATACACAAGTACAAACACCTCTTTATGTATACACACACTTGTGTACATATATATGTACATATAGATATAGGTATACATTGACATATGCTATTTACAAACACACACATGGACTTCTATACACACTGTATTTTTTAAAAGATTTATTTATTTGTGCATACAGAACTGGGGTACAGGCCAGAGGCTCAGGGGCGGCGAGAGGCTTCACCAGAGACAGAGTGGGGAACAGAACAGGAAGATCGACGAAGTACACTGCTGAGGGGAGCAGCGGGTGGGTCAGGAGAGGTCTGGCGCCATGTGGTCACCTCCGGGGCAGGCGGGAATCGAACTCATGCGGAAGTGGCTTTAGGTTCTTAGTGCTGTGCTTTAACCTGCTGCGCCACCAGGGAGGACCACGCACTGTATTTTATATCACCTCTATGGAGGTAATTCTCCATGAGAATGGCCTTTCTGAGTATCTCCTGAGATTACGTCATGGATAGCTCTGTTAAGGGACGCTGACATGACACGCTGGAGGCACAGCTAGAGAGTGTCTCCCACCACGTCAGAGGGCAGGTGTGTTTCCAAACCAATGGTTTCCAAAGTTTGCAGCGAGCCACCTCACTTTTATGAATAATCTACATTCGTACCTGTTTTCCCTCACCAAAAGAAATCTGAGGGTTTCACTTTTATGACAAAAGGCCCACTGGCCTGGGCTTTGCAGCAGCTGCCCCAACGCAGCGTGCCCCAGCCAGAGCAGCATCCTCCCCAGCAAATACTTTCCCAGGCCGTGTCCATCAGACTCCAGCGTCGAGCTTTATTTTAGATTTTACTATAATTTGGCAGGTCATTTTGGAGGGCTGGGGGGGATGCTAAAATATTGTTACAGATACCTTCTGGCAATTGTTTCTTCACTTTACACCTCAGTTTTTTGAAAGGTTTCAGAGGAACACTTTCAGGTAGCAGAGGAAAACTTCAGTGAAGATAACACACCCCTTCAGGACAAAAGTTGGCCAGTAGTGTGAACCACCCCCTTATAAAATTCGGTGGGTGCTAAGCCTGGTGCTGTCAGAGGTGGCAAAGACCCACTGTGTGCACATATCCTCGGGGCCCATCTCCACAACACCCCCCTGCGCTGTAGCGGCCAGGGGAAGCCAATGGGAACATGAAGCACATACCTCCTGCTACGGAGGCAGCAGGAATTCTCCAAATCCACTCGGGTTCACAGACGGCTGACTCTGCCATCACTGCTGCTCAGAAGCTGCTCAACACCTAAGCATCTGTGCACGTTTTCTCGCCACCTTGCACTCTCCTTTCCTCTCCTCTCCCTGAGAAAGCAGCTCCTTCCTCACACAATAGACCCTGCCATCTGCAGGATGGGGTTCCAATTTCCAATCATTGTGGATCCTCTTATGTTTGCATTTTCTACCCCTCCAACATCTGCATCTCTGCTACTTACTAAAGATTTGTCTTCTTGCTTAAAAAAAAAAAAAAAAAAAAAAGTACTAGGCCCATCCTGGTGGTGCAGCAGGTTAAAGCACAGCACTAAAAAGCTAAAGCCACTGCAGCATGACTTCGACCCCCGCCTGACCCGGAGGCGACCACTACTCCCCCCAGCAGTGTACTTCCTCAATCTGCCTGTTCTATTCCCCAATCTGTCTCTGGTGACTCCTCTCACCACCTCTGCACCTCTGGTCTGTACCCCAGTTCTGTATGCATAAATAAATAAATCTAAAAAAAAAAAAAAGTACTCATTCTCTGAAGCTATAGTTTCAATTTTCCTGAAATAAAATTCTCACTTGTTATCACTTTCATAGAACTGATTCCCTATAACTATTTGTACTCTGGCTTCTTCTGCTATTACTTGTCTCTTTAGTACCACAAACATTCATTCCCAGGGAGCTCCGCACTGCCACAGCAAAGAGGCACGCTAAGTCTGGGAAGCTCAGCTCCTGCACACTCCCACGAAAGGCCTAACCTCAGGAGTGGCCCTTGTCTGGTTCCTGAGAGATGAGATCTGAACCCCTAGGATATTCTGATTGATAAGTTTTGTTTTATGCCCTAGACCTTGGGCCACATGGGGGTTGAGGAGCTGAGGTCCTTCCTGCAGGCCCTGCCTGTCTATGTAACTGACCCCTCAATGAAAAACTCTGGACACCAGGGCTCCAGTGAACTTTCCTGGTTGGGAACACCTCTCACGTGTTTACACGTGGAGTTGAGAGAAACAGGTGTGTCTGCGACTCCCCTGCAAAAAGACACTAGGAAGCCTGCACATGGTTTCTCCTGGGTTTTACACTCCTTTCATCTTTTCCTAGCTGATTTCAAGGTGTCCTTTTGTCATAAACTACTACCACGAGAACCAGCTTTTCTGCATCCTGTGCATTCTAAGCACAGGCAT